AAATCCAACTTCTGGACTACTGATGAGCATGGGAATCCTACCCTTTTTCCACTGTCATTGATATACCGTCCTCAGAATGTTCCTCTATACGAATACATTCGTTTCTTACACTTTGCTTTGCGTTTCCAATATAGCTGTATGCCCGAGTTGTATATATAAAGGCAAAAACGGAATCAGGGGACCACAATTCAACATGGTTAGCCATCCCAGATCTGAAAGCAGCTGAATTGCCTACATGTGTAATCAATTAATTTGTAAGAAATCAGGAATAGATGGAAAATTAGTGTTTTTTTCTCGAGAGGGGTGTCTACTCTGAAAGCATTCTGTTTGATTTAGAATTATTGGATGCGTGTGAAAAGAATTCTTTTTTTTTGAGTTTTTATAACTAAATCATTTATTTATTTACTATTTGTCTGTGCTTCTTTTTGAAGGATGTTCAATAGCCGCATTAGTTTGGAATACCAAGTTTTGTCTATTTGAGCTTCTAAAAGAAACCCTTTTCATTTAGGACACCGTAGGCGTCTATAGCATCCTAAAATAGAAGCTGTAACCCCCCAAAGTAGTATCGTCCCCCCCCCCCTATTTAACATGCCTTCCATAGACAAACGAGGAAGTGGATTTGTCCATCTTAACACCCCGGCGAGTATTTCCTACACCCCCGGACAGGCCCTTACGTTAACGGAGTTGACACGGAAAAGAGATCGCATTGAGTGTGTGACACTTCCAGCGTCTATAGCCATCTGGAGACGGGCTTTTCACGCTTATGCGTCTTTAGAGGGGTTTCAGGCCATGGCGGCTGATGTGGAGGACGAACGTACCCATGAAGGGGTGATTCTGCCTCCACTTACGAAAAAGAGTGCCGCAGTTCGCACACAGGCTTCACCTTTTTTAGCCCCGCTCATGACTCGAACGAGCGAAAATCCCACGCGGACGGGTGAAGGGAAGCCTGTGGCTTGTTCAAGTACTTCCTCGCTTAATCAGGGTTCGATTAAAACGGAGTCTGCTCATGAAGGTCACACTATGAACCCACATCTGGCATCGATCCATTCCGGCTTCTATACTAGCCACGAAACCGATAAAAATGCCGATTCACCGGGTGGTATTCATATCGTTTCTCATCATAAAGTTATCGGAAAGAGTGAGTTCACCTATGTCGATCACGACGGCATTCTGTCAAACGGAGTCGTCCCAGAGGTAGTGATTACATTGGAAGAAAAGGAACGAAAAGAGGCGGGCAAAAGATACTTTATTTCACCACAACAAATGGCATTCGATGAGCTCAACGCATTCGAGGAGCTTCAGTCTCTATGGAAGAGTAAAGCCCACAGTCATTCAGTGCAAGGCGCGATGCATCGTGCGGCCGAAGAGGGTTCTGAGGTTAAACCCACCACAGCCAACGATGATGTTGTTAAGATAAAAATGAATTCACATGGCAGTATGAAAAATTACGGGCAAGCTGTAAGTACCTATCACCAAGTCACTTCCCCATCGTCGTCGCATGCGGATCTAGACAACATTGGGGAGAGGGAAAGCTTACCTGATGGTGTCGCGACAGAGGAGGCACTTACAGATGCCTTACGGATGGTGGATGACTTGCTGAGCTTTGTATAACAATATTGCTCTGGTGTTACTTTTAACTCTTTTTCTCTTCCCATTGATGCACAGGGAAGGCGTTTTTCCTTTTCGGAGTGATAAACCAAAAAAGGAGGAATAAATCGAGCTTCATAGCGACATGTTTTGGTACCATCTTTTTTTCCCTTTTTATTAGAAATACTTCATACATGTCCTCTGACCTATTTTCCTATTTTTGTATGCATCGTGGTGCCCACATCAATAAAAACGTCAAGGAAAAGTATAACCTTAAAATATCTGTTTACTAACACTTTCCGTAGGATAGTATATACCTATATAAATAGGTATATTTATCAATAATACAGAACTTGAACCTAGACTTGCCCCCTTTTCATCCCACGTGAGGATTGCGTTCCCGATTTTTGATATTTATTAGTGGAAAAGATGGAAAAGGTGGCCAACATGTTTGGTCGTGGCACTCCTGCCGGTGACGCCATCTATCGTTGCTACGCGGTGCCGTCGAAGCCCAGCACGTATGACCCTGAGCTTGCAACCCTCCTGGCGAAACGACGTCGCGAACGAGAGGCGACGGAGGCTGCGATGGTGCATCCTAAGCCCATTCCAAAGTCCAAAGCGACGGTTCAGAGGCCGAGAGTGGGCCTGGGCGTTCGACCTAGCCGTACTGATATCGCATCTATGCGGCTTCGACAGATTCAACATAGGAAGCCACTCGAGGCGATTGAACGTGAAAAGCGCCAGCAAAGTCCCCCAATGGCACCTATTTATACGAAACCGCCGTTAACCGAGGCTGAAAAGCTTCGTTTATGTGATGTGATGCACTATGGCCATGAATTGCCGCCGATGGAGAAGTTATCGGCTTTGCATCGCATGCGTATGCGGCAAATAGACCCCATTTTTGACCTAAAGGACCGTTTTAATTCGCTACAGGACTACGCTAAGGAGATTTCGAACGAATTGCACCAACACCGTGTAGAAAACCAGTCAGGCCTTAGCAGCGCAGAGGTTGGTGCAAGCCACGAAACAACTTTAGATACGAATCCTAGTAGTGGCGCTGGAGGAGCCGGCTCCAGTATTCATGTTGATCACCAAAAGAACAGCAACAAACATAAAAATAAAGTCAATTCTTCTAAGCGTCGTGAAACGACACACAATATGCTTGAACAACATCATCGCGAGAGAGAGCTTATTGGGACTCTGGATACTGTCATTAAAGCTATGGAGGAGCTTGATATCAAAATTAAAGAAAAACAGGGATTATGATTATAATGAATGCTACGAAAAAGCATCTCCTGAACAAAGTATATTGCTACTGTTGTTGCTATTTCCATTTTTTCCCCCACCACGATGATCTGAAAGAGAGTTGAAAAGTGTAAAATTAGAAGTGCGTATATCCTATAATGTATTGTCTACAAGGAAGGAGCTCATTTCGCTAAATATAGCGATGCTTGTGAAAATATTAGATTCAGCTTTTTAGCGTCGAATATGTTACTAAACATTGAGCGATTTTTCTATTTTTCTTGCCTTTTTTTTACATGTATTTGCTGATTAAATAGGGGAAGAGGGTACACTGTAGAAAAGTAGATAGATTCTCACACACTCTCTCTCTATAAATAATCCTTTAATCTGTTTAACTAGATATTTTCGCTATATTTTTTTTAGAGGAGAGGATAGGGGGAGGAGGAGGCTATACTACAACCTATTCTCTGCCTTGCTTTTCCCCACTTCACCAAATTCTGTAATAGTTTGCAGTCTTCTCATTCTTCAAAAGCTACACCGTCTTCCTCTGAACGGGTTTAATTGCCTTTTAGTTTTCTTTGTGAAAACTTTCATTGGTGAATCGTGACGGATATATGTTTGAACATTCCAGGAGACGTCACGAAGACGACGAAACTGATGTTGGAAATGCCCTTGTCAGTGATGCCAGTGAAGAGGAGGCATCCACACCCAACATTCTCACGCCATGTGGAGAAAAGCAACCCGATAGCGGCAGAAAAGGGCTGTCATCCAAAGGATCACAATTATTGAGTGTGTTTTCTGCTTCGCACAAGTACAGGCAACATTCGTGTGTGAGAAAAAATTCCAAATCCCACGGAGGCGCGACCTTGGCATACCTCAAGACCGAAGCTTCTTCTTCTAAGTCTCTTGGGGCGCAAGGCCTGGTTTCGTGTGGATCGGTTCCTATCCTCGACCCTAAGGTGGGCCCGGATTCTGTACTGAGCCTTGGAATGCCCCTAACGTCGTCGGAGGCGCTCCGTGAAGCTCCTTCTTACACTACAACGAAATCTGAGGTAACATCCACCGCCACCAGGGCTGCTCTTCCATCGGAGCCGATGAACATCATACACCCGGTCGTTTGGTTTCTTTCTTCAATTCAGCTTCAAGGATACGCCGGGGAATTTCTTCATCGGCATCAAATTCGATCCATGCAAGGGCTCGTAGAGCGGGTTCGTTGTGAAAAGGACGCCAAGGTCATCCTTGGTGAACATGCCTCCCGGCATCACCAACTCATCTTCTGGAAGGGCTTTCAAAAGTGGCTCCGAGGAGCCAGGAACGACGCGAAGTGGCAAGGCAAACATCGGAAGACGAAACGGATCTCAAATAACCGTCCTCTTGGGCGGAATAATGGGGAATCGTCCGGACCCTCAAGTGTTAAAGTTCCTCGGACGGAGAAGGTCTGTCCTGTTCGGCAGGATTCTCCTGTGTCACGTGCTGTGGAGACTCACGGGAGTAGCTCTCTTGAGCTCACCCTGTCACAGCTGTGTGATACACTGCTCTGGGGAGGGCGCCCCGACCCCAATGGTGCCTCTGAATTGGAAAAAGGATTGAACGGTGGAAGCCTTCGCGGCGTCCGAGAGGGCAGGGGTTCCGATACTCCCTTTGGTTCACCAAACGTCCGTCGTGTGGGCCCATCGGTGACTCTAGCTAAGGGAAGCCCCCTGATGGAGCGGATCATTCCTCGAGGTAAATGGCAAGAGGGCCTCAGCAATTTCAACAGCGAATATCACGGCAGTGGTAGAGCGGATCTCCATGGGACCTTGCCTGACTCTCAACGGATGTTGTCCCCAAATACGATATCAGTGGAAGCCATCGACGCAGATGCGGAAGAGTTGGAGGAGAATGAGGCAAGTAAGATTCGCACACAAGTGAAAGATGACGACATGGAGGTTGCACAAGCCTCGAAGGCATTGTGCGGTACGGAATTGTGGGGAGCGGCGGGGCCGTGGCCGCATTCGACGCACCCGAATCCATCTTACTCAGATCCCGTTCTCCATCCTGTTGCGATGATTTCTCATTTTGGTGCGTTTCACAAGTCAGTAGGGAGTGGGCGAATCCAAGGCGTCAAATCGGACATCGATACTGTGCAACCAGAGCAAGAAGACGGAGCAGTAGAAAATTCTGACGGAGTGGATTCGGACTGGAGTAGCATTGTACAATCATTAAAGGATGATAAGTTGAGTCTCACAAATGTTGCCCCATATAGGGATCTGGTCGAACTTTATCAGATCAACTCCAGATGGGGCAACACTGAGGGGGGCAGAGGAAGCGTGTTTGTGCAGAACCTTCTTGCTTCCGAACAGGGGGCTATTCTCCTGGATACTGAGAGGAACATAGCTTTGAGTGATCTTGTGAACTGCAGCCCATTTTCATCTACTTGGAAGGATGAAAGCGACTTCTACCTAACCCAGGAAGCAGATCAGACAGCAGATTGTGGTAGCTTCAGAAGCAGCGATCGTATTGTGTCCTGGGATAATATCGCCTCCCATTCTTACCGAGGGGTTGAAAATGTAACCCCTGTGGTTCTTGACATTCAGCATTCCATGTCACCTAGGAATTTATCTCCAAGCATAAGGGGATCTTCACAGAAAGAAGAAAAGTGTGATATAAATAAGACAGATTCACAGCCTCCTACTTCTCAGACGGATATAAAGTATGCCAACTTCATGACGAGTCCTGACATCCCAAAGATTCCTTGCGTAGGTAGGGCAGGCTTGTTACAGGATGTAGAAGAGGTCATCAAAGCTGAAGTACCATCAACCATCCAGCCACTTCCGTACATAATAGGGAAAAATACATTGGAAGATCTAGAAATAGGTGCCTATCTGAGTGATTCCAAGCAACCACAAGCGGCCCTTATTCTGGGAGATAGAATGGGGTGTTTAGGAAACAGCGAAATACGTCATGATAATACCATACAGCATAAGCGAAGCAAATCATCTTCTACATCTCTGGCCGATCGTGGCTTCGGGTATACTTCTCCAAGGCATGGCGTAGGGGAGGAGTGTGTGTTCGACGATTTTATTCCTTTCGTATCTCAAGTCCACAACCTAGGAGAGCGGTGGGATGGATGCGCTAGAGGTGAAAAAGATGATTCAATTGAGTTGGAAACTGGAATGAATATTTTCCTTCCGGGAGGGAGCCTTTCTACGAGTCCTAAACCTTCTACAGCCGTAATTCAGGAAATTCTAAATGAACCCGACGTTTCACATTTTACATCGCATGATATGGAATATGTTTCTAGACAGACTGGAAATCATTGTATCAATGGCCTGCCCGTTTTATCGCCTGATTGTACGGCTGCATCTATGGATGATTTCGCTAACACAGCGAGTTTTGGATTAAACAGAAGTGTTGAGCTTGTTCCTCTTTCGAAGGAGGAAGCCGCAAAATCCGCGGAAATCTTATTTCAATCGAGCAAAACAAGAAATACTGCTTGTACCGGGGCTAAAGTTGATGGATCACTTAGGGAAAATGAGGTTTGTAATCGCGAGTCCCCCGGGATGACCTTCAAAGAAGGAAGTCTAGACGCTGTCACCAATATCGTCGAGGATGACTGTTGGGGACAGTTCGGGCTTCAGGCTATTCAGACTGCGATGGATGAGACACATTCCGGGCTGCCGGAAAATCCCTCCACGGAAGGGCTCTATAGACTCGCGGAGATCTCTCCGTCAGCCACGCCTCCTTGTGGCAACCCAACTTCCACAAACTGCCCGTACCGTGTGGAATGTCCTCGAGAAGGGTCCACACGTGACTGTGTTTATATCACCATTATCTCCGATAGCGAGCCTCGTGAGGAGGGCGCCGGTACGCCGGACCGGCCTGACGACCTGGTGAAATCCCCGTCTCGCGTGAATGAAGCCAACAGACGGGGTAGTCTTTCCACGCCCCCTCAATGCTTAAATACAAGTCCTACCGCTCCCTGGGCGGGCAATCCTGCCTTTTCAAACTCTCTCTGCGGGCGATCCGGCCAACCCGACGGAGCTGCATCGACGACCCTCGCACTTCAGGAGCTTGTCGCTGCCTACCTCGACGACCCCTCCTTGGCGCAGTTAACTCTGGCGGATTTGCGAATGTGGTGCGCTCGGTTAGGGCTTCTGGATCACGTCGAGCAGCATTGGTTGATACCCTTTTCCACTCTCGGTTCGCCCTGTCCAACTCCTTTAGAGAAGGAGGACTGCAATGCGAACAGGTTGATAGACAACACATCACCTTTACCAAAGAAAAATGGATTGGAAGTCCCAACATCCACATCTTGGGAGATGATTGAGGCGGATGAGCTACGGGCCCGACTACGTCTTTTGGCTGTTCGTGGATACTTTTACCATGAGGTTGTGCCAGAGTGCTTGCACCGAGTGGAGCGGATATCGGGGTTGCCGTATAAGCTTTTACGCACGTCAGACTTGATTGCCCAACAGGAAAGATACTTGTTAACACACGAAGACCTAGAGTGTGCTCGACAGCAAGCTAAAGAGGTACTACAGGAAGAAAACGAGAGATGCATTGTCGCGTCATTGTCAGGGCATGCTATATCATGTCTTGAACAGCGAGTGGTTCAATATTCAAACTCCAAGAGCACTGAGCTAGACCTTTGCGACAGGGGGTTATCTACCCCTTTTCCATCCTTTTTCAAGTCAGATCTTTGTGCTGCAGAGGATTCAGATAACCTTTCATTATATGAAAGAGCGTTGATATTAGAACCGATCGACGCGGAGGCCATGACTGCTGTGGTTAGGAAAGATTTTCCCTTTATATCACACACTCGTGTTCAACAAATGCTAAACGAGTGTGATGTTCCGCTTCAGGCGGTGCGTCAGCCTTCTCACGCCCAGTCTGTTTCCTCAGATTTGAATACACCTACCTGCAGTCCTGGTTTCTATATCCATGGACAACCGCGTAGCCAAGTTATGCACAATGAGGACGCGATAAAAGGGATTGATGGGGATCGGAAGGATAGTTCGCCCTTGTTAACCGCACCGCCTGTAGAAAATTCTTCGGTATTGTTCGCATCGCCACAGCCTATCGTAAACAGGATACCAACGCATGAACTAAATTCTTTATTTTCAGCATCTCCGACGCCACTGCAAGTATCCAAAGGGCAGAAACGGAGGGAGAACACGCGCCGGTTTTTCTCCTCGCGTGGGATATGGCGTGGCCGAGGAGGGATGCATATCCGCCGATAAAATAACTACTGAGTCAAAACATTCTTAGAAAGAGAAGAATACAAGATAAAACTCAATTCTCCTTATTAGTGCATTTTTCCCTCTTTTTATCGTGTATAAGAACGGAGACGTAAAGTACTTTATTGCATTCTGTATACAAAATTTACTTTAACTTAGTATACCATGGAGGTGCCTTTTTCCTTTAAAAGTTTTGTGGAAATTTTTATTTACTTTTTGTTGCTTTTAAGCAAATAAAAGGAATACAACGATAGAAATTATTTTTTATTTATTCTTTATATATTTGAGGTTAACTAACTTTATCCTCAATCAGCAAAATTGCTGGCATGTTGAAACGTGTGTCGGAAGCGGCTTCACGTGTCGAAGTGGATGCGGCAGATAATGTTAGACAGACTGTGGAGGGGATGGCAGTCGCCAAGGATTCAATCAGCTTTTTAACGTACCAAGACTCAGATTCAGATCCATCGCAGTTATTATTGCACAAACACGGGCGGATTGGGATGAGCGACAACCTGAAAGCAAACTTCGATTCTGTCGCATGCGTCAATCCCAATGCGACAGAAACCTGTTTGAATCACTTTTCGAGTACCGATGAAATATCTGCCAGAGCTCTCGTATCTTACAATCTGTCGCTCAATGGCGCCTTATCACCCTTCTCGGGAATTTACGACGATGTGTCTTTTCCATTGAAAACTCTGTTTTTCCCTCCAGCCCCACCAAACGAATTTCCGCCGCGCGTGGCTCCACCCAGGAATCTTTTAACACCCGTTTGGAAGAACGACTTGCGCAAGGCCGGCCTGCGCGAGCAACAAGCCCAGACCATGATCAGCAAAATTTGGCGTGGGATTATGTGTAGACGACAACAGCGTGTGATTCGGGTGCATCAATCGGTATTGAACCAACGCGCGCGTGTGATTCAGTGTTGGTGGCGTACCTTTCTCGCCCGCAGGCGCAATGGTCAGCTCCTCAATCTCAAAAATCAGTGGATCGAAAAGCGCACGAACGATTACGTCGCCGAGCGTTTAACCACCATGCAGAACATGATGACCTGGCAGCGCAGTCGTTACGACGGGGCCGCGACGCGGCTCCAACGGGTCATTCGATGGTTCCTGCGCGAACGTGAGCGGGATCGGTGCCTGCGGGTGCACAGCCTGCCCGAAGAGGAGTGGCCCCCGGCGCTGAAGTTCCCCATTGCGATCAAACGGATCATTTACTTCCCCTGGCGTCCCCGTAATAACCGCCTGGATGACGACCTCCCCAGTGACTCCCTCTCCGAGGGCAGGGGGGAGTTGGCGGAGTTGAACCAGAACCCCTTTGACTTTTCCCCGGGCAGTCACGAGGGCCATCCCCAACTCTCCACGGGGGCCATTAAGACCTTCATCACGGGTAAGCGCACGCTATTACAATTCCGCAAGACCCGCGATCTCATCGTGCCGATGTCCTGGGATAGGGTTCAGGCAGCTAACCAGGCCTCGGAGCGCCAGGCGCAGGAGCAGGCGTTGGCTTTGGCCCACCCTTTTGTGCAGTCCCGGCTGGAGTGGAAGCAGGGGCACTTGGACGGGTACGATCTGGACTTCGGCGCCGGGGTAATTCAGCGTCGCTACCGTTCTCAGCGCTCCACCGTGAAGCTGCACACAACACAGCTGCGGCACGAGTTTATGGATCGTGTAGTGCGCATAATCTCTCGCACGTTTCGTATGTACATTCTGATCAAACGCATGAGGGAAAACTCCGAGAGGAACAAGAGGAGGCTGAAGTCAAAGATGGATGTGTACACACGCGAGCGTATTGGGGAAATCGACCGTGAGATGGTATGGGGGAAGGAATTGCTTAATATGAGTGCTGCAACGATCCAAAGTTATTGGCACTGGTATCTGTACCGTACCCGTGGTGAAATGCCAAAGCGTCGACATACACCCCCTACACTTGGCGATGACGCTGATCCTGAGTCGGTTGCATTTCTGAAGAAATTGCAAGAAGTAACCACACCCATGCCACCACCATTTCATTTAATTGATTCCTTTATCGAAAAAGAAAGAACACTGCTCATGGAGTCGATGAATTTGATTGAGCGAAATCGTATAAGGAGAGAGAAAAATCATCGTTACACAGAGTTCATACCACAAAGGGTAAATAGATACCAGATCAACGTCCACCTTGCATAAAGCATGATTGTGTATTCCAGGTATAGAGGAGAAAAAAATCTGCAATAATTGAAATCATGCAAATATGCAGATACACTTTAGGTAATTTCAGAGATATTTTTTTCCCCAATAGACCACCATTGTATTCAAATTCTATAAGATTTGGCCTCTTTTTTTTTTTGTTTCTATTATTTTTTGAAACATTTTCCCATCCCTTCGTATCTTTTTATGTGAGTGTCTTCTAGACTATAAAGAGGGGGGGTAACTATTGCTTTCTTTTTCGAAGATGTAAATACATGTTTATAGTCACAAATAATAGCGTGTATTGATCAATTTTCTTTATGCACATCAACCTCAATGTATGACGTTTAACCCTATTTTGTATGATAAAGTTTTCTCATTTGGCAACGATGTTTAAAGAAAAGGGTTATCAGTAGTATGCACCCGTTTGGTGCATAAACAATATAAATACATATATTTTCAATCAATCCCAAGTTTCTAAAACCTTATCCAAAACTTTATGCATGCCAACAGTAAGCTCTTTTGCTATAAATTAGTCAAGGTGGAAGAATCCAGAAATAACATATTAAAACTTGAAGAAAGCTTTCTGGAGCGTGGTGGAGGCAATTTGAATTGTCTTAATTATATACTTTATGCCTTTATACATATACAAAGAAAGAAAGAAAGAGTATTGGACAAGGAAATACTAGCCACTAAAGTTTAGGAAAAAAGCTTTTGAAGTTAGGCAATGTTAAAGATGATTTTTTTATTATTTTCTTTGTATTTTACTTTGCCCAGCACTGAGTTAGACCCTTCGATCTCCTTCTCCTCTTATCAGATCTGCATTTCAGACCGATAGCAAGTCAGTATAGCCATTAGTTTAAACTCTACGCTGCTTAAATATACATATATATATATATATATATATTACATATATATATATATATAATATATATATATATGTATAATATATAATATATAATATATATATATACATATATATATTATTTATATACAACGTTTATTTAGAATTAATAAATAAAATGAAAGAAAGTGTATTGAAAAATGACTATCCTAGTGTAAAAGGGGCACACAAGCCGGCTCTTTTTAGGCTTCCCCATCGTAAACCCATTGTTGAACGGAACTCCACGCTACCGTCGCGGCCTCCCCTTACCTCGATAAGCCCCCAAGGGCCCGACCTGTCGGGACTCCCCGCGGACGCCTCCTCTTCCGGGGCGTTGGCGGCCGGGTTGAATCTGAGCCTTCGGGCGGCCGAGAGTCTCCCGGCGAGCGCGAAGGCCCTGGGCCACCCCAAGACCATCCGCCGGGTCACCCATTCCCTGGTTCTGTCGGGCTATCCCAAGGCCCCCTCCCCGCCCCCCCTGCGCCT